GTTGTCTCAGTTTGGAGCAGTGTCTGGGGCTTGGCCCTACACATTTAAAAATGTGTAGTAAGTAAGATCACTAACCTTGCATTTGAACCAAACCAGCAGACTCTTTCCAGATACAACTCCCAAAATGTTTTGGATATGTGGCAGTTAAACCCATCTCTCTTCTCCATGTCACCCTGGCCCTGCATCGGTTCCATGATGAGCTGTATGAGAAATTCTACCATGTATGAGTCAAGGTTCTCTGGAGGCACAGAACCCAGGGAATGAGTATGTCCTGAAAGGGAATTTATTAGACTGGCTTACACAATACAGTCTGTAGTTCAACACTGGCTGCCTTCACATTGGACAGGCTACTCAGCTTAGATGGCTCAGCAGTAACAATCCGATGCTGAAGGTCTGGGGGAATTCCTGAAGAACCACTGGTCCAAAATCCATGTCAGAAATCTAAGGAATCTGAATTCTAATATCAATGAAGGATGGCCTTCACGGTGGCAGCAGCAGCAGAATAGATGCACTCACCCGCAAGAGGTGAAAACAAGCAGGCAAAGAGCACTGGCATTTCCCTCAGTCCCCTTACATTCGCAGACTCACAGAAAGGTCTTGCCCCCTCAGTTATCCATCCCAATAATGCCCTTTGTATACTTACCCCGGGATATGTCTCTTAGTTGACTACAGATTCAGTCAAGCTGATAACCAAGATCAACTGTCACTACCAGGACCCCCAACCTGGCAAACACCAATAACCATAATATTGGGTGGGCCTGTGAACCACCCAAAAAATAAGAAAGTCTATCACACAGCTCTACTCTGATGAAAGAAATGAACTTATAATATTTATAACATTAATAGTGACTTGTCATTATTTCTAGAATTTAGTTCCGTTCTCCACAAGTAGCACATACTCAAAATAAGTGACCCCTGCCCTGCTTTTAACCTTAGGCATTTTTATTGCACACGTAACAACCTAAATACACAAGACACTCTAAATATAATTCCATGTTTCGCTAACAAATCAAATATCATGAAAGGTCTCATTCCTTTCCTTGCACCAGAGGGATGATGGCTCCAAAGTCAGGACCAAGGAAGCGAGGATATCTTTTCCTGCAGTTTATGGTCCCCACAGTGCATCAGGCCACTGAGCCTGCATCCTTGCCTCAAATCCTGCATCCCCACCCATCATCCATCCATTGCATAAGCTACTGAGGTCCTTATGACACCAGTTAGTAGCATCCTAAAACTCCTGGGAGCCTTGTTCCTCCAGAGAAGAAGGACTTGGGCTCTGACAATTCTCTATTCCTCTCACAAGCTCATTTAGCTTGCGGTTTTCTGCCTGCATTCCACGATGGGATTTCTAGATTTCAGGGGCTGGCCTGGGGTTGCTCCGGTGGGTGGGCTTTATCATCTTGCTGTATCATTGCACGGTGTTGTGGTGTCATCAGTCAGTTTTGTTGGTATTTGTTTGCCTGGGGATGGAAAAGCTCCCTTTACTATTCACCTAGCAACATCCCGAGCCTCCCACCATACACTGTGTCATCTCTAATGGCCTTAAGTATATGTCAGGAGACACAGAGGTCCTGCTTGTTTGCCAGTGACCAACATAGCACCGCACTGGAGAGGATATCGGCAGTCAGGCTAGAGAGATGACCCAGTGGTTAAGAGTATCTGCTGCTTGCAAGCACCCGAGTTCAGATCCCAGCACCCATGTCAGAGGACTCACAACTCTAGTTCCATGGTCTCCGCATCCTCTCTCTGGTGTCTACCATTACCCACACTTGTGGCATTTACCAACACAGACATACACATGTACATGCAAATAAAAATAAATCATAAATTATGAGGGTTAGTAGGACCTATATCAAAGTGGAATTAATTTTCTAAAAGCCTCAGGCCCTGTATTTACATAATTTAACAAATGAAAGTCTCGATCTTTCCAAATTGTTGTTCAAAATTTCATTCTACATGAAGCACAAGGGGGGGGGGCAGAGTAAACCCAAAACAGCCCATTGCCCATCAACTGGTTTGTCAAACAACAGCAAAGCAGGGAAGTAACAAGGCTGATCCTTGAGCTGGTCCTTCAGCAGGAACACTCAGGTTTCTCCACAGTTTGTAAATTGCTCCAGCTGCATTTTCACGGTTAATGAAATCGAGAGAGGCAAGCTCTAGAGCAAATTAAAGCCCTGGATCTGCTGGGAGATGCTGTTGCAGCAAAGGTGGTCTAGTTGCAGCCGAGTCTCTACCTACATGTAGAGCTACACACCAGGTCCTGCTGTCACAGTTTAGTGTCTGTGTTACTCATCCAGAGGGATAAAGGCTGGTTCGAACCAGAACACTGATCCGGTCTGGTTTATGCTGTGATTCACCAAGAGAAGACAAGGTCATAATATTTTATCCTGAGAACACTAATCAAAGGACCAGAAGGCCACGGGGAGCTGCGCTATGGTAACAGGGCATGAACAGTAGGTGAGGAGTGCCATCTTTTGGCTATGGGATGCCCTAACATTCTCTAAGAAGAAAAGAGTTTTTACTTCATGTGCTCAAGGCAATTTAGCAAGGCCTCTAAAGTTCTTTCCTGGGTACCTTTGGGTGGCATCATGCTTGTAATGGGACGTCTCAGACTTCCCCACATCCTGATCCATTAGTCATGCCCAAATGGTTGGTGTTAGATGCCACTAGTCTCTATAGCTCCCAGGGCAGGGGCAGAGGAGCGGGAGCAGCTAGGAAATACTGCTAAACAAGAGTGCATTAACACAGAAGAAACAGAGAGTCTGATTGATCTAGCATGGTCCTTTGAGTCCAATAGCCCTCAACTTACCCCCAAGCTATGACATCTTGGAGATGTATAGTACCTGGTTGGATAAGCATGGAATTTTCCAGAGAAATAAATTAAACATGCATGTAACACAAACAGCATGCAGGTACTAATATGTATTCCATAGGCTCCCCACCTTGAGAAAAATCAAAATATAGCTGTGTCGGTGCCCACTAACTGTAGTACAAGGGAAGACTAAAAACTAAGAATGGACCAAAAGGCAGGGGTTATGAAACCATGAAGGATCTGGAAATAAAATACCTTCATCCCACTGAAAGGAAAAGAGTGTCAAGAGCACAGTGAGAAGTCCTCACCCCAGTCATCAGAACACCTACCTGAAAGGGAGAATAGTCTAAAACATCTTTAGAGCATTTCCTAGAAGTTCTGGAGACTCCGCCACAGATAAAAGAAGCAATTGCTGTTTGAGGTCTTAGGGCTCCAGCAGCAACAGATCCCTGGTTTGTCTAAGTCTTAGTCCTACTGTGTGTCCTATGCCATCTCTACAGGATGACAGAAGAGAAACCTGGAGAAAACCCAACTATCAAACCAAATGAGACAGAGTGGAATGCTAAACTGCTAAATAGACCCTTCTGAAATAGCAGGCCTTTAATCCCAACACTCAGGAGGCAGAAGTAGGTGGATCTCTGTGAATTTGATGTCTACCTGGTCTACATAGTAATATCTAGAACAGTCCAGACTGTTTAGAGATACCCTATCTCAAAAAGGGGGGGGAGCCAAAAAATAAAAGAGCAAAAACCAAATAAATAAATAAAAAGAAAATGTGTGTGTGTGTGTGTGTGTGTGTGTGTGTGTGTGCGCGCGTGCGCGCGCACGCGTGCATGCGTGTAGCTGGGGAGATGACCTACATGGTAAGGCACCTGCCTCTCAAGTCTGAGGTAGAGTTCAAATTCCCAATACCTGTGCAGAAATCCTAGTAAGCATTTGTAGCCTGATTGATGGGAAGGTTGACAGGTAGAACCCCAGAGCTTATTGGCCAACCAATCTAGCCAATCAGTGAGCTCCAGTTTCAGTTCCATGACAGACCCTATCTCAGAAGACAAGGGCCAGACTGGTCAAGGAAAGCACCCTGATAGCTGCCACTGTCTCCACTAACAGTGATTTGTAGTCATCTGTTATCTCGGAAGCCCAGCTGCCTCTCCCTGGTCTCCTGATGATGGACAGCTTTGAGAAGACTTTGTAAGAATTCTTGGGGCTGGAGAGAAGGACCAGCTAGTTAAGTGCACTTACCATGCTCACAGAGGACCCACGTTTGTTTCCCAGTACCCATAACAGACAGATCATAACAGTCTGCTCTTCCACCCCAGTGGATCTGGCACCCCCTTCTGGCTTGTATGGGTACCAACACACATGTGGGGCACACACGCGCACACACACGCACACATACATGCACAAGCATGCGTGCACACATGCATGCACACACACATGCATGTGCGTGTGCACACACACACACACACAAAATAAGTACATCTTAGAAAAGACAGGTGACACTGATAGGAAAGAGCTTCTACAGTGACATCCTCTAAGGTCAGCCTTCCTCCCGAGGGTGCTGAGAGACCCATGAGCCATGCGTTAGGCACAGAAGCCAGCCTTGTCACCTCTTTCATTCATGATTTTCATATACACAACCCCAACCCAGGAAGAAGCAGGTGAGAGTACAGCTTCCTTACCCCAGATTCACAGTGTTTCTGCAATACTATTTGTCTAACTTAGCCAGCGGTGGGGAGGTCTTGATCAAAATGATAAATTTTATTTCCTAACTGTCCCCAAATGATAGTGCACCTACCTGCCCCTGAACTCATACCGAGGTCCCCACAATAGCCCCTGTGAGATGGTAAAACCCTGGCTTCACATCAGAACCAGGTCACCAAGCAACCGAGATGACTTCTGTGCCTGGAAATTCATTCATCTATCCCACAAATGATTGAGTTCCTATTAAAGCTGCAATGAGCCTTTCACCTAGAAGAACCATCCCAATTAATCATCTAAACAACCAGATGTGACTGGTGTTACTGGTGTCTCTACTGGATGGACAAGGTAGCTGAAGCTTAGGGAGGAAAAACAAATTCTAGACTAAGGAACCTGGTATTTGTTTGTTTGTTTGGGGTGTGTTTTGATTTTTTGTTGATGTTGTTTTTGTTTTTGTTTTTCTTTTACTGTGCCACCATAATGAAAGGGACTGATAGACGGGTGAATTCAGAGAAATGAAAATCTGAAAAGTACACAAGTTAAACCACTGAGAAGAGCCAGACAGGTGAGAAAGCGAGGTCACAACAAACACGATTGTGTTAAACCAGTGCTAAAACTGGCACTATTGGGGGGGGGTGGCCTTTCCTCCCACCAGGTTGCTTTGTCCAGATTTAACAAGAAAGAAGGTGCCTAGACTCACTGCAACTTAATATATGATGCCTGCCAGATACCCATGGAAAGACTGCCCTTTAATATATGATGCCTGAATCTATGGGGCCTTTGGTACTTGACCAGTATTTATTCCTGGCGTACAAATGGACATTGGATGCCCATCCCACAATGAGAGATGCACTCTCACCCTGGACTCTTGGAGGAGGTTCTAGGCCCTGTCCTGGATGAAATGACAGACTATGGACACCCCCATGGAAGAACTCACCCTCCCTGGGGAAAGGAGGGGGTATTGGGTGGGTGGTGGGAGAGTGTGGGAGGAGGGGAGGGAAAGGGAGAGGGACGTGAGATTGACATGTGAAGAAACCTTGTTTCTAATTTGAATTTAAATTTAAAAATAAATTTTAATATAAAAAATATATATGATGCCTGATGGATACCCATGGAAAGACTGCCCTTCTCAGAAGAGGAACTGAGGGGGAGTGGAAGGAGGAGGGGACTGGGAAGAGAGGAGGCAGGGGAAATCGTGGTCAGGACACAAAACCAAAAGTAAATAAAAAAAATACATAATAAACTTAAAAAACAACTTCCCAAGATCTCCAAAAGTAATCATTTCAAAAATAGGAAGGAGGAATAGCATCTTAATAATTGGAAATATTCCTAACCACAACCATTGACCCCTTACTTTGGACTTCACAATATATTTACAAATGTATAATGTCTTCTTTGCCTTAATTATTACAATTAAATATGGAAGATGGCCAAGAAAGATACATACTTGAGCCTCCATTATCCCCTTAAGAAACCAGATTTAGAGACTGGACTGATTACTCAGTGGTTAGACAACTTGCCTTTCCAGAGCACTGGAGTTCCAGACTTGGATTTCTAGGTTTATTTTGAGCTGTTGCTTTTTGAGACAGGTCTCAGTGTGGTCTTGAGTTAGAGCTCCTCCTGCCTCAGCCTCCCAGGCCTGGGATGGTACCTGTGCTACCCACACCTAGCTGGGTTTCAGTATTTCTGTTATACATTACACAGCCTGGAAAAATCAAGCAAGATCAAGGTTACTTTCTTGGGCAGAGTTAAAATGGGTGAAAGGCTACTCAACCCAGTTAACTGAAAACAATTTTGTTACTATTCCTATTTCTGTTTTTTTTCCAGAGAAATAAAAGGAAGGATAGAAGATCAAAAGAGAACAATTGAGCCACAACCACAGGCTAAGGAGCCAAAGCTGCTGAAATCTGGGGAGGAGCAGGGGTCAATCGGGACTCTGTTCAGCACCAAAACATAATAAACTAATTGTTAACTTTTATTTGATTTTGTTTATTCAGTAAATGTTTCAAAAGAAAATATGCACTGTAGAAATAAAATCTGAAAGAGAATGCCACTAACAATCTCTAGAGGACAAATTTCACTAGGGAGAAATAACAGACAATGGACCTCAAATGTTCCAGGTTAAAATCCTACATAGTCAGGCAGTGGGTCCCATGGGAGGCACCCTGCTCTTCCAGAAGACTAGGGCACATCTCCAACATTATAGCCAAGAGAGAGGAACAATCTTAGAGTAAGTTACAGGAGGGAAAAATTATCAGGAAGAAAGAAATGGGTTTAAGACAAAGTGTAGAATCATGAATTATTTCATTCTTTGGAAATAGGAGTGGCATTAAAAAGTACCTCCAAGCTGACATGTTTAGAGCAGGAGAAAATGTCTAGAACAGGACAAATTGCCCACTCTTTGTGTTTCTTCTAAACTGAAAGGAGAGTCCTAACGTTGTCAGTACCTGGAGACTAATAGAGTTGCCAGGAGAATCCATCGAAAAGAGCTGGCATACTGACAATTGGAACCAACATACAAGATAGAATAATGCATTTGAGTTTGGCCCTGTGTGTGTGTGTGTGTGTGCGTGTGTGTGTGTGCGTGTGTGTGTGTGTGTGTGTGTGTGCATGTGTGTGTGATCTTACTCTTTTCCATACACACCAAACTCAGTTTCTACTCTGAACAGTACCTCTCATCAGTACAGGGCGTTTGACTCACTGTTACTAATGAAGGCCAGCAGCTGTGTTGTATGTCTTTTTCAGATGCCAAATCTGTCAGAATCCATACCGCATTTAGTTGTCATATCTCCTTAGGCACCTCCTGATGGAGGCAATCTATCCTATTTTCCTAGTGTTTTGATGACTGTGACAGTTCAGAGGATACTGGCCAAGTATTTCATAATCCATCCTTCAATTAGGAGCTGCCTGATGGTTTTCTGACAATGCGACTAGAATTACAGGTTTAAAGAAAGAAAACCACAGGGGTAAGGTGCCATTTTTATCACATTACACCAAAGACAGCAACTGTCACTGTGATCTGGGGAGTCTGTCTTTCCCTCCATCCACAGGCTGAGACAGTATTTGGCAGTTTCTTTCCAGCAGTGTTTTCTGTTGTCATCACCCCCCCATTTCCATGCTGTACCCTTTGGAATGAAGCCACCACAGGAGCCCAGGCCTTGGGGGTAAAGAGCATTCATGTGCTCCCTTCTTGAAAAAAGACACCACAGCTATGTAAATTATATATATATATATTAATTTAAATTTAAATTAGAAACAAGGTTGCTTCATATGTCAATTCCAGGTCCCTCCCCTCCTCTTGGGCCCTCCCACCAACCCCCCTAATATCCCCTCCATGGGGGTGTCCTATGTAAATTATTTTAAATTATTCTGCAAATGAGATTGTCACTCCTTTCCTACTCATTTGTGCATTTATTCATTGACTTGAAGCAATATGGAGTTGTGGTTATTTATCTTCTCCCTTGTGCTATCGTACACACACACACACACACACACACACACACTGAAATTCTACCTTTGGCCATGTATCCATTTGACATAGTCCCCAAAATGCGGATGGATGGATGGATGGATGGATGGATGGATGGATGGATGGATGGATGGATGGATTGGCTGGTTGGCTGGTTAGACAGTTGATTAGGTGGTTAATTAGATGGTTGGAGGGTTAGTTAGGTGGTTGTTTGGTTAGACGGTTGGCTGGATGATTGGGTAGTTAGTTGATTGTTTATGTGGTTGGTTTTGATAAACTTTTAATACTTCCTTACTTTCTGACACCACAAAATAATCCTAGTTCATTTTATTCCTACTGCTGCTATTCCATGTGTCTTCCCCAAAGCACAATTTGAATGTAATCTCCATGACCAGTATTGAAAAGGTGGGATCTTGCAGAGGAGACTGAGTCTCTAATGGGTTAAGGTTATTATTATGGGAGTGAGTTCATTACTGAAAAAGTGGATCACTTATCAAAGGAAGCTTCAGGTATCTCTTATTCACCTTCCTGCCATCTTTTCTCCTTCCCTCTAGAATTCTGGGGCTGCCTCCGTATACTTTTAGCCTATGCCCTTGTTTAAATATAAAATGTCCCCTGTAAGCACATGTGTTTAAAGCTTTGATTCCCAGCTGGTGGAGATGTTTCAGGTTAGGAAATGGAGCCTGATAGCAGGAGCTAAGTGACTAGGGTGGGTCTTGGGGTTTGATAGCTTAGCCTCATGTCCCATCTTCTCCATCTTTCCAATAGCATAACAAATATGACCAGCCCACCTGATGCTCTGATGCCATGCTTTCCCTGCCAGGAAAAACTTATGCCTTAAGCTCTAACCAACAACAATGCTCCACGCTGCCTTAAATTGTTCTTGCTGGGTTAGGGTTACAGCAGCAAGAAAAGTAGCTAACATGGGCTGGAAGGACTATAGGAATGGACACTTCCTGAGTTGCTCTGTAAACTTTGCCCAGAGAATCCGTTGAGTCTGGGATTTCTGGCATCATCAGGATATCTGTCTGGACTCTCTTTCTCTCTGATCCTTGTGATCTCCATTGAAAGAATTAAGATGTGACACAGACACCATAGTGTAGGACACAGTAAGGTTTATTAAATGACAGCACACTCTCAAGAGGTAAGAATGGACAATAATGGTCAAAGGGGCCATTTTATCAGTCTACATGTTAGGCAGTCTTTCAAAATCCTCTGAACAAGTCACTTTTCATGAGAGTCTTTGTCCTATCCATGTGATTGACAGGTCTGTTTGATGGTCACATCCACGAGAGAAAATGGTTGGCGTTTGTTCTTTATTAGAAACCCCCCTACTCTATAGTCATCTTAGAATGCATGGAACTCTTGAGCCAACTTTAAATAATTACCCATTGATAGTCTTTGGGCAGTTCAGGATATCTCCTCCTAGGGCCAGAGATGAGACTCAAGCCCCCTTCCCTGACTAATAATTAAAGTCTTACTGTTCTAATCTTTAATTTTACAGGCTACTGAGTACAAGGGAGGGTTCTAAGGTCCAGTGCCAGCCAGGTCTGCTGAAGTCTAACACTGGACCTTGGGACCCACTCCTACCCCAAGCACATGCAGGAGGCAGCACAAGGGGAAGAAGGTTGTTGCAGAGCAGTGGTTTTCAGCCTTCCTAACACTGCGAACCTTTAATACAGTTCTTCATGCTATGGTGATACCTAGCCATAAAATCATTTCTTGGCTACTTTATAACTGCAGTTTTGCTGCTGGTATGAATTGCAATATAAATATCTGATATGCAGGATACCTGATTGTGACCTCCCAAGAAGCTGTGACCAACAGGTTAAGAACCAATATTCTCTAGGCTTATAATGTTACAGTGTTGTACTCTCTTATAATGTTACAATGTTGTACTCTCTTGGGACCCTTACTCCTTTCCTCTCCTTTTTGAAATCGAAATCTCGCCCTAGTCCCACCTCATCACTGTACTGTGAAAGCATGTAACAGGCTTACAGCTGGAAGGGCTGTCTCACGATGAGCCCTGCTTTGACTAGCATCCATAGCTGATTTAGAGGCCCCCGAGGCAGAGGCATGCCTGACATATGAATGGAACAAAAAATGAGACCAGTGAACTCAGGTTCCCTGAGTGTAGAGGAAAATAAGATCATAAATACAATGGTCCCATGTACTATCCCCAGGGGTGAGAAGAAGGCACAGTCACACAGAGCACCAAGGCCACTGTGAGGGATTTGGCTTTAATTCTAAGAACTATGATGGGACCCTGGGGAATTTAGACCGTCTCAGCTGTTATCAATGGAAACATCCATTCAAAATGATGCATCTACATGTTTTATTTTGAATTTTCCTTAGGAATCATGGAAAATACCATTTGACTCTACACAAAAGAACACACCAAAGTAGAGAGACTCTACATCGCTAACATGGCAATGATAGAATGTCACAGGTTTTATGTATATCCTGGCTTTGGGGTATGTCTATGAGACCCTAAGGCAGGCTGGGGAAGCCCCCATGAGGATTCCTAGGTACTGTCTTTAAAGATCAAAGGCAGAGAAGACTCCCCCAGGTCCTACTGGTGAGCTCAGGATCAGAGATTCCATTGTCAGCCTTACCATTAGTGTTTGGTGCAACTGATGTAAAGACAGAGGGAGGACAGTGGATGAGGGAGACAGTCTTCCCAGGGGAGTTAGGTAATTCCTCCCATGAGATGATGCCCATGGTGGAAGCTCAGATTTCTTATGACCCTCTCCACATTTTCCGTCCTTTCCTCTCATTCATATGGTCCTACACGTTGTGTTTGAGATACTTATAGCATCACTTAATCAACAACCAATTAGAGTTCAGAAGAGTTTGGAGTCTACAACTGATCACAAAGCCTCCTGGAAGTCCTGAGACCAGAATTTTCTCTCTCCTTTTCAGTGGCTTTTCTGTCTCATAGCAGGTTCCTGTGAGAAATACTGGATTGCTGATGGAAGAGGACTTGGACTCATTCCCACCACTTGGGGGCTGTGTGGCCTTGGTTGGTTGACTCATCCTCTCAGCCTCACACCCCTTAACCAGACAACTAGAAAAAGGTGGGAAACATCTAACTTACAGGGTAGCTTGTCTTCAAATCAAATGAAGAAGGCAAGGTGTCTAGAAGATTTGGTGGCAAAGCTTTGCTTTTTGGACACCTTCTTCCTCTGTATAAAATCCTTGGCTTTAAAGACTGTCTAGCTCAATTCTGCAATTTCCTTAAGAACTAGCAAAGACCTGTATTAGTGAGGTTTAATGGCTTTGAGTTGGATTGGAGAATAGATGAATATTACTGTATCACTTCTCACGTGTCTAAGAACACACACACACACACACACACACACACACACACACACGCTATACCTGTTCACATTATCTTTCAGCAATCATGCTGTACCTTTAGGCATATGTTATTCACTTATGATGAAGTGCCCCAATGCTCATTAATGAACATGGACTCAGTGA